GATGCACCACTCGAACCCAACCTCTAATTCGCACCACGGGTCATCTCGGGATGCGCCTTTCTGAAGTGAAGCCAAGGCACGACTTCATTTCACAACAGGCACAACAGTACTTCCAATTCACCCAGCCCACTTTGACTACCAAATTGTACGTAGGGTGGGAGCAGGGTACATCAGGATGGGATAATTGGCGGTGCGAGACCCCACACAACCCCCACCCCTCCCCCCTCCCGATTCGTTCCTGCCACGGCTCTTCTTTTCCCATTCAACTCACCATCTTCCAAAATTTACCAACTGCGAACCAGTACTTCCAGTTTTGCAAAAAAATAGGTCTTTTCCAAGAAAAAACTATCGTCGATCAAGAGAAGGGGCGTCATCGTCAAATAACTACTAATTTCAACAATCGACAATAGTAGTTGTGGAGCTTGACGGCGCTGCTGACAAGAGAAGGGGCAAATACCACCCCCCCCCCCACCCCTAGACAGCGGCAAAGAACGACCATACTGAGGGATCCTCTCGACGGTGCAGTAGCGCGGGTGGGGAGGGAGAGCAAAGATCCTTCAAAAAATTGCAAAAAAAAACTAAACATTCCGCAACAAAGTATGCTTCCAACCCCTGTCGCAATATATTAATCTATCTATTGAGCATTCTTTCATCCTCCTGTGATGCTAGCAGATGTCATCGGAAAGCGTTACGCAAACACTTTGGCAGGGTAGAGCCAGTAGAGCCACCGTCTACACTTTGTGGTAGGGACGGGGGGGGGGGATGGTCGATGCACGTGGTTTAATCTTATTTGAAACCCTACCTTCTTTAGTGCTGGGAAAAGCGATTTCGGAATATTGTTTCCGAAGGTCTCATCCGTAAAGTCTATGTGAGTGTTCCTACAAATATCAGTCGAGTGATATGTAGTAATTGAATAATGAATAGGTTGCGAAAGAAAATTCGTACCTTTCAGCCGGGAGCGGGTCGATAACCCCCTCAATTTCACCAAACTGTCCCTGACCACCAGTCTGTTTCTTGTGTCGGAAGTGGAACCTGTGGAAAGGAAAAAGTTACGTAAAACGTTGCATGCTTTACAAAAATTGCTCACTTATATGGCTTAGTGAGGGATTCCCTGTAAGCTACCGTTGGCTTTCCCAACTCCACTGGACAATTGAACTCGTTTTTCATTCGTTGTGCGTAGATTTCCTGCGAAATAGAGACTATCATATGGTTACCATCGAGGCAGCATTTGCAAAGAACTTACCAAATGAAGTTCTCCCATTCCCGAAACAATCGTTTCCTTAGCTTCAGCATTGTACTCCTTGCGGAAAGTCGGATCCTCCTTTGTGAAGCGAGTCAATGCCTATATAAGATAAGCATTAAGGATTTAACAGAAAAAAAAGAAAAAAAAACAGGACCCAACTAAGTGATA